GCTTACTTTCCATATAATCCTTAATGTGTGGAAATCTAAACCTACAAGGATTGATTTTAATTTCCTCCAAAAAGTTGCTCCTGGCAGAATCTGATAAAGCCGTTTTTTGTCTAATTTTTCCCAGCCTTGCCCTTGGTGAGCTATCAGAGCATACCTATCTTTAGGAATTCATTCGGTGATCACCACAGCTTGCATTCATTATCTCAAATACCTCCCAAATCGTTGGCTGATGCATGGGGGCCTGGAAAAGTGGTCTGACAGCATTTTCTGAAACTTTTCACTTTTGGGGGAGAATGTCCCCAGATTCTTGCTGGTGGTTTGTTTTCCTGCCCCACGTTGAGCTGCCTGTTCAGTGCAGAAAGTTAACAAGAAGTGGAGCCTCTCCATAGCTCTTGACTGCTCTGCGCTGCCTCTTTCTTTTCAACAAGATTTGCTAATTTGTGCCCAGGGTTGTTGAGTCCTTTAGGTGCCAGACCAAGCTCGCTCCCAGCCTTCAGCCTCGCAGTGGCACGGCCGTGACACAAGCTCCCGGTGCAGAAGAGCAGGTCACGGTCTCCTGCAGGAGGGTCAGAACCTGGGCCCAACCAGACAGAAATTTTGTACAAATTTTTAAGAGCTGTTGGGGTACACATTCTGGTTTTTACCTACTACCAGCCCGGTGAATCAAGTAGCAACCTTCCTGTGTTAGAGAGGTCTTAATGAACAAGATGTATCCTCATCTTCTAGAATGTCGGAGTAGGAAATGCAGCAAGGGTTAGTTTAAAGCAATTTGCACATACTTGGTAAAACAGAATGATCTTCGTCATTCCTGAACTCTGAAACAGAAAACAAATTTCTGTGGAAACAAAAACACAAGCTTGCCGCTGCGCTGGAGCAGAGCGATGCATTGCAGGAGAGATTTAGCATCGTGTTCTGACCTTTCTGGAAACAGTTGATATGGAAATATTTTTGTCATATTTATTTAAACTTTTTTCTTGCATTTATTTAAACTAGGCAGTATATTTATTTGAAAAAATCAGCAGCATGCCAATCCCCAGCTCTTGGCATGTTAACAAAACTAATCATGCAATAAATGTAATACTCTTAAATCTGTGCTCATATGCTTTGATCCTAACGCTATTGGGAAAGTCCTTTTGTTCTTATGTTCTGCTTCTCTATGTAAAGCACCAGGTGTGACTTGTGGTAGTTTTAGGAGATAATAAAGATAATAAGAGGAAGGTTTACGACAGCCTTTAGTGTAATGGCTATGGCTGATTTTTGAAATAGTACTTCTCTACTATTTTATGTGCCATACTCATCTTGTTTTTTTTTAAGAAACAACACAATGTGTTGTTTTCACACCATCCTGCATGCCTGGCTATCCTCCCAGGTTCACCCAGGGGTGCTATTTGTTGCCGTACCTCTACCAGAGGCTGGAAACAACATTTCAGAGACACGTTTTCAAGCCCTTGAGGGGAGGCAGAGGCAGGCAGACCATGGGCATGCCCAAGTGCATGTGATTCTTGACTCTAGGAAGCTGGTGAGTGAAAAACGTCAATACAGTACCTTGGCTACACCTTCAGGGCTGGATTCAGAGGCCATTAAAACCAGTAGAAGTCTTTCTGTTGACTTCAAAGTGCCTTGGATGAGGCTGCTATTCCACAGACAGCCACCCGTCCATCCCCAGTACTCTGAGGTATTTTCTACGGGAGGTGGGGGGATAGGAAAGAAATCAAGAAAAAGAAAGAGGAATATGAAAGGAGTGGTTTTATCTGTGCTTTTCAAATGTTTTAAAGAAGGCAAGGTCAAAGCTTACCTCACTATGGCACTGTTATTGATAGATACCATAAGCGGGCGGCAGCGTTTGCAGCGATGAAGAGTTCTGCTAATGAAATGCAAAGTTTCTCCAGGGTCCGAAATAAATGATGAGGCTGATGGCAGTAGCTAGGTGTATTGCTTCCCTAAGTCACGTGGCGTTGAGATGAAGCCCACTATTAAGTTATTTTCTGCATGTGGCTCACATATGCTTAAAACCTACATGCCAAATAAAAGTTGGAAATACCTGAGATTAATTAGAAGGCAGTTATGAAGTAGACTCTTTGCAAAGAAATTTTCAGTCTCCGATACTTGGTTACATTAGCTTATTCAACTTCTCTTTTCTGTCAGTGCAAATGAGATCATAACTCACATGTGCATGAAAGCAAATGAGTGGTTTAGATATAAAAATGCACAGCTGCCTAACTTTGATTTGTATTAAAGACAGACATAGAAATTATTAATTCCAGCGTCTTGAGAATTACATTTAAGTGATACCAAAATTAGGCAAATTAAGCCTCAACCTCTGCGTGCACCAAGGTATGCATGCAGTCTTGTTGTTTGATAGTGGGATGGCAAGATAAATGGCAGAATCGGGCTCCACACCAAAGTTAAGCCGTTTGTAGAAGGGGGATAACAATTTTGGAAATGACTAGCACCATATTATTTGTGACATCAAATATTTATCAACCAACTTCAGGTCCCCAGAAACGTCCTGACGTTGTTGCACAATGTGGTTATTCTTCCTTTAGAATAAGTAGCAGATCCAATGGATTTTTTAAATTAGAGAAAGATGCACTTGGCTGTACGGGCTCGGGATGTGGGGCAAGAGAGAGTCCTGTTCAAGTGTGTGAATTTACTCTCTAAGCTTTGGCTGTCACAGTAAAGTGGCATCAACCTGCATGGAGAGCGCTAACTGAGGAGCACTCGAATTTTTGCCGAAGTATCAGTGCTGGCATTTAGTCCAAAGATAGTAAATGGATGAAAGTATTAGAAATTTATAACTGGGTTTGGTAGGATTTGACATTTCCTTCTTGCTGCTGACATTCATTGCCTGGGGAGAGATGTAGAAAGAATGAAAAAATGAATTTCTGATGAAATTTGAAGGCTTATAAAAATAGGATAACATTAACTCAGTCTTTTTTCTGTTGATACGAAAGAAAAAAAGTTGAAGTTTCTGAATCTGGGTAACTCATGAAAGTCTTATTTTAGAACAAGGGACAGCATTTCCTCTGTTCCTCAGTGCAAGGTTGAACGTTGCTCTTTGGGGGTTTTGGCTGTCTTGAAATTGGAGCTGGGCTCCGGAAAACTCAGGGGCGGCCATCCCTGCCACAGGCTCACCTGGCTTCCCGCCTCTCGCAGAGGAGCATCATTAATGGCCCTTAAACCCTACTGATGGCAGGGGACGTCAGCTGTAACGGTCTTGCAGCAGGAAAACAGCCTTTTCCAGAACATTGCTTATGCAAGTTTTTAAGCAGCAACGTCTGATCTTATGAGTTACATCCATTTCTCTCCACGTCAGTCTGAACTTTTCCATTTTGGAGCAAGTTACTCCTCTCTCCCTCATTCTTTGTGTACCTCTTAACACAATAGGGGCTGAACGAGTTGGAAATAGTGCTGTAATTTAAAATAATCACAGTTGTCAATGCATATGCCAATTCCTATTCTAATGGATCTTCCAGAGGTGCTACATATATAAATTGTAGTTTTTTAGGTTTCAACTGTATTCATAGGCTGGGAAGAGCTTGGGCTGTAATTTATTTCTTAGGAAATATAGTGATGGAGTGGCTCCAAAACGAAGGAAGAAGCCTCATCTCTGAAAAGAAAGCAGAACATTTTATATTGAGAGATGGTTGAAACAGTGTGTTTGTGCTCAAGGATTAAACCAGGATGCTTGTGACATAGTATGTAATGAATTGCATAACAGGTAATGAAGAAATTGAAGCTGAGTCTCTGGTGCATCATGCTGAGTAAGAGGCTTGTTCTACACGAAACTGTCATATTAAATTCTTGTCGTGATTCCAGACCCCTTTGATTCCTAAATCTTTTGGAGGAGACTAATCTGAAATCAAAGTGAAGTTGCTTGGGGTTTGCATGCCAGAAGTGGTCACATTTGAAAAAGTTCAGTGAACCTGCAGAGGGAGGTTGAAATTAGTTGCTTCACTACAAAGCTTACAGCTAACGTACCTGCTGATTTGCTTTTTGCTTTGATTCTTCAGGCTCTGCCTTCTTGCCACCTTCTGAGTTGTTTTCAAAATGCATAAATCTTAAGGATGAGCATGTCCTGGTTTCAGTCTGTTTAGTTAAAAAAAAAAAAAAAGGTAAATCAGTCTACACTGGTAAAACAAACATGAGCTCTAATACCAAGGACATGGAAAGACTGCATTTTTCTCTTCTGCCTTGTCCTTTGTGCAGTTATTTCCCTCTGTGAAGGTGTATATCGCGCTTTACTCTCCTGATTTACCAACAATTGACCTCCCTTTGTACCAAGGTAAATGGAAATGGTTCCTTTCAAGTTCTTATAAGTAGATACTGAGGGCTCCTGCCTTGGTCCCTGTAAGATGACTCTGCTTCTTTGAAACTACTGGAGCAATGCCAGGAATGTTTCAGTCTGTTTAGTTAAAAAAAAAAAAAAGGTAAATCAGTCTACACTGGTAAAACAAACATGAGCTCTAATACCAAGGACATGGAAAGACTGCATTTTTCTCTTCTGCCTTGTCCTTTGTGCAGTTATTTCCCTCTGTGAAGGTGTATATCGCGCTTTACTCTCCTGATTTACCAACAATTGACCTCCCTTTGTACCAAGGTAAATGGAAATGGTTCCTTTCAAGTTCTTATAAGTAGATACTGAGGGCTCCTGCCTTGATCCCTGTAAGATGACTCTGCTTCTTTGAAACTACTGGAGCAATGCCAGGAATCCAGCCTGTTGTCCCTGCTGAATGTCAGCTGCTTTCTCGATTTTGATATTGGCATTTGGGGGGGCTTTGACCAAGAATATCATGCAATATTAAGTGCAAATGGGAGCATTTCCAGTGGTTAAATTCTGCCCTTCCGTATCCCCCTTAAGCTTTGTGTAGGCTGCCGGGGACCCGGGGATGTGCTTTTTGGTCCAGTTAAAAGAAAGTGCCCTGGGTAGCCGTGGCCTGTGTATAACCGTGAGGATGGCCCTGCGTGAAAGCTGATCTGTTGTTACTTTATATTTACAGTGTTCTGTCTCCTGTGGAAGGGGCCAAAAGCACCGCAATGTGTACTGTTTGTCAAAGGAAGGGAGGCATGTAGAAGAAGATTATTGCAAGCACCTTGCTAAGCCCAATGTGCAAAAGAAATGCAGAGGGGGCAGATGTCCGAAGTGGAAAGCAGGAGATTGGGGACAGGTGAGATGCGTTGTATACCCTTTTGCACCCTTTGATATTCTTCCTCCATCCAATTGGTTAGAAGCTGTTTTTTCCAGCACTTCTGTCCTTTTGAATTTTTCAAGGGTAGAAGTTTTAGGCCAGACCCTCGGGTGGCGTAAAACAGTGTAGCGTCATGCGTAGCAGTGGAGCAGCACTGATTTGTACCAGCTGAAAACATGGCAACTTGCTTGTAGTATCTAACTGAAAGCAAATTCCTTAGTATATAATAGTAAGGAGAATCTATTTATTGATGTTTTTAATATTGTTATTATTTAACTATGTCACATCCCAGGGAAAATCTTCCTTAGTTTTGAGAAATCTGAAATTAATTTTATTATCAGCTTCCTGGGAAAGCCTAAAGAACAATTCGAGCTGTTGATTAAAAATGCTTTTCACTACCTTTTGTTTCTTAACAAGCTCATCAGTTAATTTTGCTTCATTAAAAAGTCAGACACTGATGCACAGAGCAGAGGCTGCTGGAAATGTGAAAGTGCTTGGAGTTATTAAGCATCTTGTTTACTGAAAGCATAGCTTGAGTCCTTGTTTTCCTGAAAATAATGTCTTTGTCACCACCTTGAATCTGCTGCATCACATTTTTATCTCTGAACCGTGCTTTTCCCTCTACCTCATTAGTGTGCTAATCAGCAGAATTATTGAAAATCCCAGACTAAATGAACTGTTACTTGTAAAACATCATGTTCTCTTGCGGTCGGCCTTCCAAATAAAGGTACAAAACACCAATTCTCACTGTATGCGAGTTCCCTGAAAGATAAACCATTAACATCGCTACAGGCACCCGTGCAAATGTTAGGACTAGGACAGCATAGTCTTCTTTAACGTCGACTATTAAAAAAGACAATAAACCCACTGATGTTCTATGATTGTTTTCAGACTTGTATTTGTTTTCAATGCTTACCTTTGCATTTATAGGGTAGCAGTATTTGCCATTATGGACAGCAGTATTTGCCATTAGGTGTGTAAAGAGCCAAGTGCGCATTCACCGTGGAGGTTCAGTTACTGAGGTCTGGGTCCTTTACCCAAGGTATGGCTGGGAGCACCCAGGTAGCCCTGCGTAGCCCTGTGAAATGCACAGTACTGAAAATTAAGTCAATATGATTACCTTTATTACCTGCAGGACTTAAACCTCCATTTTATACAGGAAGCTAGACTGAAAAGAAATGCGAGGCCATTAGATAGTCTTGTCATATCCGATTTGTACCTTATTTAAAGTGACTGCTCCTGAAAGCAATTTTTTACAGCTAGTATTGTAAACATAATAATGTAATGGTCTGTAGATTGCATTAAAATACGCTAATGTTAATTGATAAAAAGTGTTTTAAAATTCCCAACATTCCACCACATGAACGGAGTTAATTTTATGCAAGTGGAGAAAGAAGCCCAAGCTAATAGGAGGATGAGGTGATTTATGGCCTGAGGTAATCTCTTGTGACTAGGCAATTAAGGAATATTTGTATGCTAATGATAAGACTAAGAATAGGCAGTGCATTTCCAGCATGCGGGGTAACTCCTCAGCCCAGGTCCCTGATGCTGTATGTGCTCAGCCAGCCGGCATCGTGCTTGGGGAAAAAATAAAGGGGTAGAAACACCCATTCTGCAGTATCAAACTGGGCTTTTTAAAGCCACGTGAAATGCTCAGACATGGCTTCCTTGCGTCCTGATCCTTACTCGTGCTGGCAGCATTTCTTTGCCTGCGACAGATGAAAAGCGGGGCTGTCAGAAATTTGGAGCACCGCCATGGCTGTCCCTGCCAGAGGTGTGCAGGGCTTGCATGGCTTTGCAAAAGATTTAATGCCTCAGAGCCGAGGTGGATTTAGGTGCTGAACTTCTCATTAAGACTATGAAACAGGCAGGGGTTTGGCACTCTGAATACCCGGTAGGTCAGGATCTAAATGGGCGCGGAAACTCCTGTGTCAGCTTCCCCATCACCGGTGGCACTGTGGAAAATAGGGAGCCATGATCAGTTTGCACTTAGATACTACCAAAAAAGCTTTCCGAAGGTCTAATTGCCTCTGAAAGATAATCCCAACGCTGAGCTGCTGTGAGCTGGGTGCCTTTTGTCCTGAGTAAACCAACAAAAGTCTGCCTGAGAAATAAAGCAAGGTTTTCCCGTAAAAGTGCATCCTCCTTGTTGCCATATATGCACAGGACCTGTTGCATGTGCCTTTAGGGTTTTTTTCTTTTCCTTTTGGAAAAAGGAATGATTAAAAAAGTCAGGATTAAAAAATACAGGAATGGTTTAAAAATGAATCCCAGCCAGCTGAGCTAAGCGCTCCGCTTCCAAGTTTTTTTCTCTCTGGATGTTTTGTATTCAGAGGCTGGGTAATTCTTTTCTAGATTGTTATGAATCCACTTTCCTGCAGCCAGACATTTTTAATATATCTGTAATAATCAGAAGGGAAGAAAAAAGGGTTTTTCTCCAAGTTTTAAATGTGCTTGTGTCTGCACTGAAATGTCAGATTTAATGTGTTTGCATCTCCTAACTAGTATCAATTACGGCCATTTACCTTTCACTTAGCAAAAATACCAATATTTATTCTGCTGTCTGGTATTTACACATTTCAGCTACAGGCTGAAATCCAGCCCCATCTAAAAACACAGGTAGAGCATCAAGTAGAGCTTCTCCATAGCCAAGCTGGCACTCGGCAGTTTGGTGATTGACTTTCTCAGTGGAGAAAGGAGCACTCCTCGGAAAATGTATAGACTCCATAGAAAGGGCAAACAGGCTGCCTGGTCATGGCATTCCCGTGGCATCCCATAGGGTAATATGTAAGTACAGCCCAAGTTCGCTGCCCCCAGACTGAATATCTTCTAGCAGTGTCAGCCGGCTGTATTTCCCCAAGGTAGACACAGGTTGGCTGACCGGTATTCTGGATTAAAATAGCCAGGATGAAAATGGTGTTAAAACCTACCTTTTCTTGCCTCTGTAGCAGAGCATAATGGTGTTATTTTGAAGCCAGCCATAAATCCAGCCAGAGCCACAGCAATACTAATGCTGCAGCGCAGGCAGCAGGAGGAAGCACCCCACAGAAGGAGATGCCTCCGCCCGCTGAGAAAACTCCCGTGGCCCCAACTCACCAATTTTCGCCCAAGCCGGGTGCAGCCATTGTCCCCTCCTCAGCAGGGCTCCGTGCTCCGGCAGCACCAATACCCTCATGGGGGGGGGTCAGCCCCACCGCAGCCCTCCTGTGGCCCCAGGGCTGGGCTCACCTGCAGTTTCATCTTCTCGAGCTGGGGCCGTGCTGGAATTTCTTTCTCCCGTGCTGTGGCTGTCTGGCATTGTGGCTGCCCTGGGTGTCTGGCCCACCAAGTGCTCTTAGGAAGCCTGTTCAGCTAGGAAAAGCCTCCCCTACTTACACTCTTGCAATTAGCCCAAGGAAAAGCTATTTGCTTGCTTGCTCACTTGCAGAAGGGGAGTTCAAATCTCTTCCAAGGGATAATATGGTACACGGCAGCCCTGGCCTGGAGTCTTGGGGGGCTCGCTCCCCCACTGTGAGTCCTCCCACCGATTCAGTCGGGGTGCAGCATTTATCCTAGTGGGCTTACGCGGGGGCAAAGATTCACCCCAAGCACCCAGTGAAATGAGTCTACGGCTTTGTCTGGTGCCCTGCTTTGCCCGGCACGGCCAGGGACCAGCCGCCTCCTCCCCAAACCCACTCTGCCCGGGTGTCACATGCAGCACAGCCCCCTGTGAAAGAGCCACAGCCTGACTTGCCCTCCCTTATTGTAACGTACCCGGGCATGTGCTTTTTAGGTGGGTGATAAATGCAAACCAAAAGGCGTTTTAGAGCATGGTATGCATCCTGGTGTATATGTTTCTCCAAGTTTGTGGCCATTATTCAGTTTAACTGTCCCCTATGGAATGCGTAGGACAAACAGCGCTGTTAATCACAGGGAGGCGGTGCAGCATATGGGAAGCATTCGCATCACCAGTGACAGAAATCTCACTGCTACTTTCAAAAGTTACACAAAAAAACTCCCACCCTCTTACAAATATCTGGAGCCAGGCAAATATTCACAGTCAGCTTTTCTTTGGTGCTTTTGGCTTTGTGGGATGTTCGGATAGTAAAGCAAATGGAGCATTACAGAGGAATACTCTGTAGAAGAGAGAATTGCCTTCCCGTTAGGCACCGCTTAATTCCCTGCCTTCAGAAGGCTCGCTTTTATGGGTATTGCAATAACAGGCTGTAAACTTGTTTTCTTAGTTCCTGAGGTATTAATAAGGTTGTTTATATTAATTGTTAATTCAGCAAATAGTTAATCATAATAGCTGTGTTTTAAATGCATCCTTTGATTTTTACATGCTTTCTTCTATAAATGCGATTCTTTATATTCCAAATCTATGTCATATACTTTAAGATCTAGCCGGGAAGAATCCATGCCAGTGAGAAGTTAAGTACTGCTAGACATATTACAGTGTGCAGTCACAACAGTAAGAAATGTTGCATGAAAGAAAAAACAAGCTGTTAAAAGCATTGTAGTGTAGATAATAAGTTGAAGATGTCTGAGAAACAGAGAAATTCAGGCTTTTCTTGCTGTGCCTAGGAGCGGGGAGAAATGTGCCCACAGTGTAATGAAGGAAATGTGAAATGCAGTTAATTTAAAAAAAGACATTTGTTTTCACAAACAGTATGCCCCGGCTTGTGTGCATGTGCATGTTTCAATGCATGCTGAAAGAAATCCCAGCTGTATCATACCTTTACCTCTCTATCGCTCCAGACTTTCTTCTATATAATTCAAGTTTGCTTTTCATTAAAGTCCACTCCAGTGACACTTGTGGCATTTGATATATTTTGAACTATTATTTTTTTGAGCCGAGTGCCTGATAAGTAATACACAGAGCCTTGTCGCCTCTGGCGTGTTGCAATGGTTTAGCAGTGCTGCTATCTCCAGAGGTTTTTGCAATATAAATCCTGTCCGGGAAATCCTGACCCCGCTGAAGGCAATGGCAAAAATTCCCACTGGGTTCAGC